ATACTGAAGCCCCAAAATAAAATTCATCAAAATGGTAACAGTGATTATCTGGTGGCATAGCAGTTAGGGCTGATCATTTTTCTTCCTTCTAGATTATCATAGTCTTTACTTTTCCATGAGTAACATGTTTTATAATACTTTATTTTCATCAAATGTAACAAATTAATTTAATATGTATCTTACAATGAAAAAGTAATTCTATTTATGTTACTTATCATCTCAGCAGGAAATAGAAGAAATCCTCAGAAAAGTTTACCAGGAAGAGCCCAATGAAGAGATTATTTAAAGAGGTTTGGGTAGCACTAAAGGAACGATCTTGAAATAGTGAGACAAGCAGGGATAGGGAAAGAAAGCTATTAACATTCTGATGTCCTGAAGGAGGTTGGGGAGGAAATGGTGTTTCCAAGGCCCAGAGAAAGATGCAACAATGCTTAAAGGCAGTGTGGCATGCACTGTGGCTGAGGAGCAGTCACCCTCTGGTGTGTGGTAGGGGTGCAGGGATGGTCTTCCATGCCCTTGTTCTCTGACCCTGCCCATGTCTTCCATTTGCGTGAACTCAGAGTGAGGGTAAGAGAGCCTAGCAGGTGTAGACCATAGAAGTCAGGCTTACGAAGAACAGAGCAGGACACACGATTGTGGAGAATGGATCTGAGGCTGGCAGGAGGGGAGATGGGCAAAAATAACGGGCACAGTCCTCCGTGTATATATCATTCCTGCTGAGACCATTCAAGAATGACTTTTCACCTCATTCTGAAATCACTGAACCAGTAACCTACATTATCTTCTGGACTCTATGGCATGCTTGTGCATGCTTATTCTCTGCTTTTCAGAGAATATGGTACCGTAATCCAGAGCCAAAATAATGACTTGGGCCAGAATGGCAGCAGTGATGTGGCTGAGAAGTGATCCAATCTCAAATATATTTCAAAAGTGGAGTCAATAGGATTTGCTAGCTGATAGTGGGCTAAAGGAGTAAAGGGTGTAAGTTAGCTCTTTCACTTGCACAACCAGATGGAAAGTCTTGCCATTAACTAAGAAAAAGAAAACTCCAAGAGGAGCCAGATTTTAGAAAGATATCAGGAGCAATTATGAACATGTTAGTTTTAGGATTTCTATCGAACATCTAAGTGGAAATACTGAGTAGTCAGTTAGACATCTATAAGTGTGAAACTCAGGAAGAAGGTCCAGACTGGGAACAGAAACTTGGAAATCATGTTTTGTAGGTGATTTATATACCATGTAGTTGAGTGAGATCATGGAGAGATAAGCATAGATAAGAGTGATGAAAAGAGCCAGGTGCTGAGAACTGCAACATTCCAACATTAAGAAGGGTGATGAAATAATATGCCCAGCTAACCCCGTGACACGTTTCCCTATGTGAAAATCCTTCACATATACCCCCTGACTTAAAAGCTGGAAAAAAAAAAAAAACCTTTAAATTTAAAAAATAAATTTTTTTTTAAAGTGATGGAGACAGGAAGTAACCAATGATGAAAACTGAGAAGGAGCAGCTGTGAGGTTGGAGAAAAATGAGGTATATATTTTACCTGGAAGTCAAATTAAGAAAGTATTTTCAGTGGGAAAAGGTAACAGATTGTATCAAATGCCACTGAAAGGCCAACAGGGCAAAGACTAAGAAGTAATTACATGATTTATCAAACAGAGTTTCCGGTAATCTTGAGAAGAGCAATTTTTATTGAAAGTAGTGGATCTGAAAGCCTAATTTGGGTGAATTCAAGGAAAAACAGAAAGAAAACTTAGGAACAATGTTTACTATAGATAATTCTTTTGAGGAGATTTCCTTTTAAAGGAATGAAATGAGACGGTTAAGTGAAAAATGAGGTCAAGATATACAAGTTTATTTATTTTAAAAATGGGAAACATAATGGGATGTTTGTATAATGATGAAAACTATTCTCTTAAGTCAAGTATTCCTCAGGGTATCAGAATAGCAGACAGAATTTTCTGGGGGGAAAAAAATATACCTGCATCTATTCATAAATTGTCTTAAGATTTTGAGAGCTGGTCTGGTCTCTAAGGAACTGATTTTAATCTTTGCCATCTCCAAATTAGACAACTTTAGAGAGTAGAGCGATAAATAACATCTCTGATGTCTTACAGCATCAATTGATGTTGGCCAGCATGACAGTTTCTAGTAATTGAAGAACCCATGATTGACTTAGTTCTGCCTCCTCCACACTCTGTTTCTGAAATGTGAAGGACTCCTAGAAGGAAAGAGGATGTGCAGACAAAGATAGGAGGGGAAGCCAAACATAACTTCCAGACAATTCCTACTTAAATGTCAAGTTGACTGCATTTGGAAGCTTTTGATTTAATCAAAACCAAAACTTTTATGCTCCCTAGTTCACTTATCTGGATTATACTTCATGCAATGAGAAAAAGAAGAAATGCAGCAAGTCAAAAACAATATTGATTTTTTTTAATTTTTTCTGATTTTTCCCATTACTGTCTTAGATATGGGGGAAAGGGGGAATCCGTATGTCACCCTGGAGTCCTATCTCCTTTTACTTTTACTGGGTGAGGCTTTCTCTTCTTGTCTCTCCTGTCTCTGGACAGATTCTTTCCACTTCTATACAGCTACATTTCCTGGTAAAACACAAACTGAATCAGGGGTGAAATTGCAAGGAAGACATGGAACTCAGTCTGGACAATGATTAAACTCTGATGTAATAAGCAAGGAACCATGTAAGCCACGGGCAAGCTGCTGATCCCAGGGAAACGAGGAGTTGATTAGTATGGTCCTAGGGTTAACAACTAGGGAAAATGAGAAAAATGATTAACAACAAGAAAGCATGGAGCAGTGCCATTCCCTGCTGGGTCCTAACAGCCAAGTAGCTAAGGAGTCCTCCCAGATTGCATTCCACTTTTCTTTGCTCCCTGCATTCAGCTTGTCACCAACTCCATAGCCAATGACTTCTGACTTTTCTTGAAACACTTTTCTTTTGTATTTCTGCAATCTCGGGAAAGCTTAAGCCCTCCCAGCCTTGTAGCTTGAGGCCTGGATTTGCCTTAAGTAAAGGTATCACCAGATGTCACTGACCAAAGAAGCATTTGCACAGCAACAAGAATATGCATTTTCAATTTAGTCTATTTCCAAGTGCTTCCCGGTCTTGAGCTTTTGGATTTTCTATCATTCCTCGTTTCTGTCACCACCTTCTTCTTCAGAACCTTCATCAGTTAATGACTTCTCTCTTTGACCCCCACTTTCTCTTCTCTTCTGGGCCCCCAACTCAGAGCTGACTGGCTTTACCTGTGTTCTCTAGTACCTTCTTAGGGATCAGTTACACTCACAACCCTGGTTAGTATGATTCCATAATAACATTTTGATAACCCCATAAATGCTTTGTACATGAAGCAGAGAGCAAGCACTTCAGAAAAAAAAAATTATCCACATAGTTTATCATTACAGTAAATTAATGGGTAAAAGACATTAAACATGACTTATCCAGGCAGGAACATATCTACATAAACCTTAGCTCATCAGCATTATGGGCCAAAGAGTACAATATTTAGCAAAGAAATTATAATCCTTTCTGCATAATAACAAAATACCATTGCCTGGGCTCAATGAGAAAATGCATAGATGAAATGTCTGGAGTAGAATGGGCTGGTGGCTGTTTTATCAAGCACTCACTCTTTTGTCCGCATCTACTGAAACTTTACAGCATGGCCTAGGAGGCTCTCTCAGTTTGGTTCCTGGCTATCTCTCTAGCCTCCCCCACCACAGTTTCTCCACATGTGCCCTACACTCAAACCAGCTCCCTAGGTTCTAGTACCCTTCTAAGTTGGTCACGCAGTCCTTTGTGGCTGGTTTTCCCTTAGACCCCTTTTTCACTTGATCAATACCTATGCAACTTTCAAGATTCAACTCAAATGGCATTTCTTCAGTAAAGCCTTCTGAATTGCACAAGTACCCACAACAGGCACTCAAGCAGACTTATGGATTGAGTAATTATATTTTAGATCTCTTTGACTTAATTTCTTTCTAGACCTCTTAACTATAAAGTTACTTTGGAATTCATTGAAAACAAACCTCAATCCAAAGTCCTATGCTAAACATGTAACAATGAACTTAAGAGTGTTTCACGTTGTTGTGGGGACTTCTTCATCTCATTACTGTGTACACTTAGTTGGGTAGTAGGACAAAAAATCCAACTCTTAGCCTGTTCTCTAATGTTACTGTGCAGATATAATTCAAATTGTGCAATAAAGCTATTCCTAAAACATTAAACCCATGTTTTAAATGCATTGCTATTGGTCCTTACCAGTTTATGAAAGTCAAACCCTTTTGTAAAATAAACACTTCCTAATGTAAACTTTCATTTTCAAATGTATCTAGCTTGTAGATTTAAACTTTGGCAAACCTTTCTTCCTCATATTGGGATCTGCCATCATCGTTGCTTTTAATTCAGAACAGGATTCTGAGTGCGCAAATTTATAAAAGGTAATACAATAGGATAATTTGCAAGAATATATAAAACTGAGCAAGGGATTCCTAGTTATTCTCATTCCTTTCTTAAAAATAAGAAAACAAAACCAAAAAATTATACAATAAAGGATTAAAATGCACTATTATCTATTGCATTTAATCTCTACAAAGTCAATACAAAGTAGGCAAGGAAATTTTTATTATAACTATTTCAAAGATGGAAAAAGTGGAATCCAGAGACAGGTAAAACAAAGAAAACCCAGGTTATGTAGTTTCGAAACTACAAACCATGCCTATGGACTTCTGGTTCTATGCTATTTTAGAACTCTTCTGTAAAGGAGGAAGCCAATTCCAGTCACAGCCATACCATTTGCAATTTGACTTGATTTCTGAAATCCCCACCTCAATGAGTTTGAGTGAGTAGAAGTTTAATCTATTAGTGAAAGAGAAATGTTTACTCAGGGAACTTGGTAAGAATAACATTATCATAAGTCATTGTAAATAGGTGGTCTTCACTTAAAAAAACTCATATAACATATAAAATGGGATATTACTCGCATAATTATCATCCTCAATATAAAAAAATGATATATGCCAGAAATTGTATCTTTATGTCAACTTTCATGGCAACCTGCAAGGTAAGTAATAGTGTTCATATTTTATAGATGAGAAATTGAGTCTGAGAGAAGTTACTAAATTACCAAAGCGGACACGGAAAATGCACCAGTGTCAGCTTGGCATTATGCCTAGAACAGTGAATGCTCTTGATAAACATTTCTCAGTGAATGAATGGCTGAATAAATGAATGAATGAAGTGGAAAAGCCACAGCTTGATTCAGGTGTGCCTGCTTCTAAAGGTCATATGTTTTTCCCAATGTCATATGCTTCACTTTATAAGTAAATGTATTACTGGCTTCTCTCAAAGAGAAAATGTCCCCGACAAGCAGCTAAAATAACTAAGTTTCATACAAGTTTTCAGAACATGATCTGCTATGCAAAGTGAGAAGAACATTGATTATAAAATATACTTCACACTGGTGGCCGTAAGATTACTTAGGTCTGAGTTCCACCACTGTCTCTCATCAGTCAGTTGCCTTATCTGGATATGGGTAGAATTTTAGGCTGGGTGATTTGTAAGTTACACCAGGACCCCTCTCTCCCTTGCTTCCTCTGACTTCACCACCATTCCCTCTGGCATCTCCTCCTAACTCCCTAAGTTTCTACTTAAAACATTCAAACAAATGCTTCTGGGTAAGCTCTTTCTACAGGCTTCTGTGTAGGAATCATGAGCAACTTCAAGAAGATTGTTATTTCCAATAAGGAAAGGTGGCCAGTGTCAAGTAAATGCAACTAATTTTATCACACAAGGACAAAAAGGGTGTTTACTTGTGATAAATGGAACAAAGCAAGAATGAAAAGCTCTTGCAAAATAAAGAATTCCCAAAGGGCAATCAGGAGGTAAGGTAAAACAGCATCCTCTTTAAAAGCAGGATTTGTCTTCCATATCCCTGGGTCCCTTGCTACAGTAAAATTCTCAGAAAGCAAAGACAAGTTTTCAAACAAAGAGAAAAACAGAGAAAAAGGAAGTCAGGCCACTGTAAGACGCTCACTGTTGACCTTCATGTGGACAGTTCATCCCCTTGCAAGCAGGCCCAGCAGGTAGCCCTGCTTATTCGCTATTTTCACCAAGGCTCTTCAAATCTATTATTGTAAAATACAGTGATTCCATAGACTCTTTGACTCCATTTTCTAACCTCACATGTTGTCAGGAGATAAAGAACCCAGCATGTTTGGGAAGGCTCATGTGAGGGTGAACAAGTACCAAAGACCCAGGAGACACACGGGAACATGGGGCATGGGTAGGAAGTCAAGATAAAAGATGTTCTTGTAGAACACCAGCCCAATAGAACAAACCACAGACAGCAGGTCATGGGCAGATAAAGTTGTAGCTCAAAATTGCAATCCGTAAACCTTTTTGGCCTAACACTCTATTCTGCAAAACTACTGCACCATCTAACAGCCTGAAAGCACATCCTACTTCATCATCATCATGAATTGGGCTCTCTCCAGACATAAGAAAACAGCAATGCATTCTGGTGTTTGCACAGAAAACACAGAAGCAGAAACAGCGGGAGGTACACACCAGAACACCTGCTCAGAGACATTGCCTCAGAAACAGTCAAGCACTCACAGGATGGAAACATCTGTGTGCAGCTCCACATGCCAGGAGCCTTGAGTTGTAGGATGGGGGAATCCAGTGAGAGGCAGGGAGTCAGAAACCAAACGATTTGGATAATGTGGGAGGAGATGTGCTGAGAAGAAAGACACAGAGGTCAGGGAAGCAGAGGAAGGGTCTCTGGACATAGTTTTGGTATGCTTTCAGCACAAATGATGAATGTGGCTTTTCTGGAAAAACAGTCAACACCCTGTGCTCTATGAAACAATTCAAAGAGCACAAAGATCATGTTTACTGCTGAACGGTTAGATAACTTGCCCCAAGTCACAGGTTGTAAGTAGAAGCTAAGGAAGATGCAGGTCTCTCTGACCAGTGACTCCTGCTGGTTCCTCTACCCAACACTTGAGGCCCTGGCACCATTTACAGTAACACTAAGTGTCTTATACCTGAAAAGTTCTTCTCCTTTGGCTTCTATAAGTCCTCTCTTTCAATGTTCTCCTATTCCTCTTACTAATTCTATCCAGTCTCCTTCTCCTACTTATCTCTAACATATCTCTATGCCTCTGTTGTGCCCCACATGAAAATAAGCAAGAGAGTTAATATTTTCCCTAGATGATACACCTCCTTCTATCTGCTTACACCTGTATGCTGATGACTGCTAACTACTATAGTAAATCAAACCCTTTCCTTAGCCCTAGATCATTATAACTAACACCCATTTTCACATCTTCACAGGTACCCGCGTCAATATTTGCCAAACTAAGCTCACACATAACTTGACAGCCAAAGCGGACTGGCCAAACCACATTTCCAGAGGCTGCCTCCTCCGATTTCACTCCCAGCTGCATGGGATATGCCTTTGGGCTCCCATGATCTCCAAGGCATAACTTTGATGAAGTTCTTACCATAGTACATTTTAATTGTTTGTTTACTACTCTCCCCAATGGACTGTGAGCTCTCAAGGATTAAAAATGTCTTATTCATGTGGATGTAAATATAAGGTAGGTAGTTACTATTTATTGAAGGAATAAATGCAGAGCCTAATTTAGGTAGAGGTATCACTGTAGCAGGTTACACAAGCCAGAAGTCATTTTCCATGCATCTTTTCTCTCACTCTCAATTCTCATTAGTTGCCAAGCTGTATACTTACCTCTTATATGAACATTTTGTAAATTCCATTTTTAACCAGGTCTCCCCTCTCCTGCTTCAACTCTGGAAGATGCAAAGTCAGTTAGTGAGTGGAAAATGCATTAAAAACCTTCAGAAGTGAATACAGAAGAAGCCAATCAAAACTCTCTGCCCACACAAGCCATTGCCCCAAAAAAGTCATAAAGGGAGAAAAACAAAATTAATTTTAAAGATGCATGTAGTTTTGATTATCAATGGGAGTGATCTTTCTAATTATTGAACTAAGACTGTTTAGGGAACTAGAATGACCACAGGATGTTTAATTCCCAAACAAAAACAAGAAAAGCCATGGAAGCTTCTTTATATTTTATCTGAAGAAAAGGGGAAAAGCTACCCCAGAGAGTGAATTTGAAGAAACACAGAGACTAAAATGAAGTTACTATGTGAGTATGCTCTGTACGTCCTGATTCTCCACAACATTTACCAAATTTGAATGAAACTATTAAGAGAGTTGTTGAGCTATTGTTAAAAAGTTAGCATAATTCCATGGTTTATAGGCATTTATTTAAAATTATTTTGATTTGGCAGCTTTCCAGTTATGAAATCAATATTCTCCTCCCCCTGTCTATGCCCCAAACAATCTGTGGGCCCTTGTAAAGCATATGGGTCCTAGGCATTGCACCTGCAAACCCTAAACAATAAAGCTCATTGCATTCACTCAACCAAAGCACACTTTCCAAAATGTAAATCTCATCATTCCCTACCTACCTCTATTTAAAATACTTCCATTAATCCTAATCACCTATGGGACAAAGTCCCAATATTCCTAAATGGACAAGCATGACATTCATAGCCTGACCCTACCCTCTCCAGCTGCATCTCTTTCCACTACCTGCCATCATGTACCACCATTGCTGGAATATATGCAAATGCAAGCACTATGGTACTTTCTACCTTCACTGCTTTGAAGTGTTTTTACATTATCTGGAATGTTCTTTCCTATCTCATGTATCAAGTGAAATGCTATACCTCTTTTTAAGGCTTTCTGAGGATATCACCAACTTCTGAAACCTTGAATCTCCTTTCCCAACCTTCATTATAATTTACTAGCCATTGCCCTACTGTTGCTTTTATTATATTCTACTACTGAAATATTTGTTATATGTCTGCCTTTCCATCTAGACTGGAAGCTTCTTGAAGTCAGGAACTAAATTTTATTCAAATTTTTTCTCAAGCATTTAACCTAAAACTTGGATACATATTAAGTACTGAATAGACTTTTGTTGAATAAATAAATAAAAGAATATAGTTGCCTATACCAGCAACATAAATTTTGGTGAGATCTATCCAGTAAAGAATATACATATTAAAATAAGGCTTAGGCCAAATTATTCAAAAAGACTTTAAGAGAAGTTTAAATGTGTGATAATGTAAACCACTTTAAACCCCAGAGAATGTCAGGGAGATATAGAAAATTATAGAAGAGCAATATTATTACAGGATAATAAAGGGTAAGTTTGATTCTGTAATCTAGGGATAGGTTCTCCTGACATCAACTTCTGGCAAGATTCCATAAAATATGCTTGAATAAATTATGTGTTTTCATAGACTCTATAGAGGAAACAACAATTACTGGGAAACAGCATTACATTCCAAAAAAAAGTCATGTCTAAAATCACTACTTATTTTTGCTTTCTTAAAGTTACTGATCCAATAATTTGATGAGGTACTGTAAATGAAAATTTGTCAAAACACTTATTTGGATCATTATAATACCTTTTAAGCAGGAAAATATGCTGAAACATGAGTTAATTCAAGTAGTATTCCATAAGAAAACCTCCTTCTCTCTACCCAGGCCATAAATCCAACTCCCAGTAACAAACAACAGCAGTCTACCACCAGGAAGGGATGAGAAGAGGCATAAGACTTCCTCCAGGATGGGTACATAATATAGCTCATGGTGGAGCTGGGACACAGAGAAAAAGCTTCTAGCACCATTCCTTACCCAAAGCACGAGATAAAAGCAGTTCACTTTTGAAGGCTTATTACACTAGGGATAATCATTGTAACAACAACCACACACACAGAAAAATCCAGCTGAAATATTAACCAGACTGATTAAAGTGCCTATATAATGGCCTAACAGAGATGTATCCATTTCATTTTGTAAATAATATTTACTTCAGTCTCTTCTGTTCTTCAACATGTCATCTCTAACATTCCAAAAAAAATTATGAAAGTAACAGAAAATATAGAAAATAACCCATTGTCAAGAGATAAAGTAGTCAGTATAACCAGACTCAGAGATGACTGGAACTATCAGACAACAAAATTAAAATAACTACAATCAATGTGTTAAAGGATCTAGAGGAGTGGTCGGCAAACAATGGCCCATGGGCCAAATTCAGATGATTACTGCTTCTTTTCATAAGTAAAGTTTATTGAACACAGCCACACCCATTCATTTCTGATTGCTTATGGATATCTTTGCACCACAACAGCAGAGTTAAATAGTTCTGAGGCCATAGTGCCATTAGAGCCTAAAATATTTACTATCTTGCCATTTACAAAAATAAACTCTGCTAACCTCTTGTCTAATGGAAATGTTTGACAATTCACATAAACAAATACAGACTTTCAGTAGAGAGATGAAAACTATAAATTAAAAATCATGTCAAATGAATTCTTTCAATGGGGTTATCAGTAGAGTGAAAACAGCATAGGAATAAATTGATGAGCTTGAAAATATGTCAACATCAATAGAAATTATCCAAATTAAAACACAGAAAGATAAAAAACAGAGAGAAAAAAACAAAACGTAAGAGCACTGTGACAACATCAAATGGTCAACAGAAGTGTAATTGCAGCCCCCAATAAAGATGTAACAGAGCATAGGAATCATTTGAAGTGAAAATGAAAAATAATTTAGCAAGTACTATCATTTTCACCCTTAGTTTGTTAAATCATCATACCAGTTAGCCTGGGAGGGGCTAATTAATGGGATGACATAACTTGGACAGAAGTCTAGTATACAACAGAATTCTGACTTACATCTTGTTCTGTATACATTTTGATATCAATATCTGATATGTATAAAAATATTGATTTACTAATCAATATTTTGATGACATTGATCTAAGACACAGAACAAATCACAGTGAGTGAAAGAATCAGAATCAGTGGTGTCTAGATAGGCTTGCTAGGGCAATGGGCCAACCTGCCATATAATCACAACATTAAAAGGAGAGAGGTCCAAGATGGCTGATTACTAGCAGCTCAGGATTGTAGCTCCCAGTGAAAGTGCAGACAACAGGAGGACGCCATACTTTCAGACGAATTTTTGTTGCTCATGGACCAGGAGATTCCCAGCAGAGGAGCCACACAGGTCGCCACACGACTCTTGTGGATGGCACAGCAGTTTTGCCGGTGCCCCAGCATGGCGGTTCTTGGTGCAGAGTAAATGGGACTGGGTCCCCTTCTGGTCGATGTTTGGAGCTCTGGGAAGGCAGAGTCACCTATTCAGCTGATTGAAAAAGGAACTCAAGAAGGAAGCCAGACTGGAGATTCCCAGACAGAAAAGCATCATTGATCTTAATGCCACTGTTTTAGCCGGCACAGTGGGTTACTCAGATTCCAGAGCTGGGAATCAATAAGTGGACGTCCACTCAGAGACCTAATTTGAAAGTCAGTAATTACAAAGACGGCAGGTAGATAAATTTACCATGATGGGAAGAAACCAATGTAAAAAGGCTGAGAATACCCAAAATCAGAATGCCTCTCCCTCTACAGGGGATCACAGTTCCTGAACAACAAGGTAACAAGGCCTGATGGAGAACGAATGCATTCCATTAATGGAATTAGGCTTCAGAAGGTAGATAATAAGAAACATCTGTGAGTTAAAAGAACATGTTCTAGCCCAATGTAAAGAAACTAAGAACCTTGGAAAAAGGTTTGATGAATTCCTAACGAGAATAGACAATTTAGAGAGGAATATAAGTGAATTAATGGAACTGAAAAATAAAATATGAGAACTCCGCGAAGTATGCACAGGTTTTAACAGTCGAATTGATCAAACAGAAGAAAAGATATCAGAGGTCGAAGACCAACTTAATGAAATGAGAAGACAAGATTAGAGAAGAAAGAGTAAAAAGGAATAAGCAAAGTCTCCAAGAAATATGGGACTATGTGAAAAGACCTAATTTACATTTGATAGGTGTACCTGAATGTCATGAAGACAATGAATCCAAGCTGGAAAATATTCTTCAGGATATTATTCAGGAAAACTTTCCTAACCTAGTAACGCAGGACAATACTCAACTCCAGGTAATACAGAGAACACCACAAAGATATTCCTCAAGTAGAGCAACCCCAAGACACATAATTATTAGAGTCACAAGGGTTGAAATAAAGGAGAAAATTCTAAGGGCAGCTAGAGAGAAAGGTCAGGTTACCCATACAGGGAAGCCTATCAGACTCACAGCAGAGCTCTCAGTCAAAACCCTACAAACTAGAAGAGAGTGGGGGTCAATATTTTCAATATCCTCAAAGAAAAGAATTTTCAACCCAGAATCTCATATCCAGCCAAACTAAGCTTCATAAATGAAGGAAAAATAAAATTTTTCATGAATAAGCAAGCTCTCAGAGATTTCATCACCACCAGGCCTGCTTTACCAGAGCTTCTGAAAGCAGCACTATACACAGAAAGGAACAACCAGTATCAGTCATCCCAAAAATTTACCAAAAGGTGAAGAGTATCTCCATAATGAAGAATCTATATCAACTAATGGGCAAAATAGCCAGCTAGCATTAAACAACAATATTAAACTCACAAATATCAATATTAATCTTAAATTTAAATGGATTAAATGCCCCAATCAAAGACACAGACAGGCAAATTGAATAAAAAGTCAAAACCCATCCAGATCCATCTCATAAGCAAGGACACACAAAGACTCAAAACAAAGGGCTGGTGGAAGACTTATCAATCAAATAGAGAGCAAAAAAAAAAAACCAAAAACAAAAACCAGGAGTTGTAACTTTCGTCTCTGACAAAATAGACTTTAATAGTAACAAAGACTAAAAGAAACGAAGAAGGACATTACATAATGGTAAAAGGATCAGTGCAACAACGGGAGTCAATGATCATAAATATATATGCACCCAATATAGGAACACCCAGATACATAAGTTCTTAATGACTTATAAAGAGACTTGGACTCCCACACAATAATAGCAGGAGACTTTGATACCACATTCTTAATATTCGATGGATCAATGAGATAGAAAATTAACAGGGACATCTATGATTTGCTCTCAGACCTGCAACAAGTAAATTCAGTGAATATTTATAGAATTCTTCATTCCAGGTCCACAGAACATACATTTTTCTCAGTATCACATTACACCTATTTTGAAAATGACCACATAATTGGAAGTAAATCACTCTTCAGCATTTGCATAGCATTTCACAGACTTAAATGAAATATTGGTTGGCTGTTTGTTTTTTGTTTTCTTCCCTTATTCCTTCCTGTCTCCGCTGTTAAAGACAATTATCGGCATAAAAGAGGTTTTTAATACCTATTTTTAGATTGCATTCCAGCCTGGGCAATAGAACAGGACTCCCCGTTCTCTCTCCCCCTTTCTCTTTCTCTTTCTTTCAAAAAAAAAAAAAAAAAAAAACTAAAACTTACTCATAGCTTTAAATAAAGACAACCCCAAAGAGGAAAACTGAGTTGATTTACATGGTTGAGGAAGCTTTGTGAAAACAAATGGAGTGACTGGCAATAAAATAAAATAAAATAAAACAAAATGTCACCACTTTTCCTCCTCCTGTCACCCACTGTACCAGATCCAGACTCACACCAAACCAGGAGAGCTACTTAAGAGCTGTAAATTGTGTGTTTTATCTGATATTGTCACAGACTTAGCATGTTGGCTATAAGCCACACACACACACACACACACACAAATATATATATATGTATTCATTTGTTCTAAGGCTACTCAATAACATGGAGAATAATTTCCTGAAGACACCAAAGATAGAGGTGGTAAACTAGCTGATAGCACCAGAAAAAAAAAATAAAATATAATGTATAAGCATGAAAAAGATACATAAGATTTAGCTTAATTACATTACATATCCAAGATATAGTGGATTTACATAAAAATGGGTCCAATACAAACAAATATCTGAGTTTAATGTGATTCCCAAGTAAGTAAACATATGCTGAAGTGATATTCACAGAGGCACAGAATTTAAAGCAACCAATATGGATTCTATTTATAGTCTGCGACTTGACTATTAAAATTGGTGGGCCATTTGACAACCACATTTTTAATAGGCAAATATATTATGTTGAAATATCAGAGGCAAGAATGAGAGAGACGATATGAAACCATGTCAATAGAGCAGGAAATATTTAACTTAGAGAAAAAAAATCAGTGCAGCCAAGACACTGAACAATCCTCGTAAGTAGAAGAGGAATTAAGTTTATGTCGCATGGCTTCTGAAGACAGAATTAAAACATAAATAGAATCTCTAAAAAGTCTAACTCTGACTCAGTTTATTTGGAAACTTTCTAACGACAGAGGCTGTTCATAAATGGAATAGGCTGCCTTATCAGGAAATGTCCCCAATGCTACTGATGTCCACATAAAGACTGTATGTTGCAGAGAAGGCTCAAGCATAGGATTAGTGGTTGTATTCCTGGCTTTCCTATCCAGACATTCTACATTTTCGAACCTGTGAAAAGAGGAGTCTCTATGGAGAAGAGAGGAGGAAAAGGAAAATGATTATGGGACCAGTAACTAAAGTAGGATTATTGTGTTGAGGGGAAACATCTCACATTTCGTTTTGCACATGCTGAGTTTGAGTGCCTGTTAGATAGCCTGATGGAAAGGTTATGTTGGCAATTCATTATATTTGGAGTTTGAAGTAAAGGTCTGAGCTAAAGTTAAGTTTGGGTGTATTCATTTCATAGATTAATACTGCCTGACATAAACATACAAAACAGTTTTAATAATTTATTTTACTTAACCCAATGTATTCAAAATATCATTTTAGTATATAGTCAATGTAAAAATTATTGAGATACTTACATTCTTTTGATTTTTGTTTCCAATAAGTCTTCAAACTTTATAGTAAGTGTTTTATCCTTGTAGCAGTATGATTTAGATACCAACTTTCCAAGTGCTTACTAGCCACCTTTGGCTAGTGGTTACCATATTAGACAATGCAGGCATAGGTGATCATTGAATTCTTTAAAAAAGATATAGAAAAGAAGATTCAGGATTCAACTTTGAGAAAGCCCAATAAAAGAAACTAAGACACAACCAACACAGGAAAAACCTAGGAAAGTGTATTGTTCAGAGAGCCAAGAGAAGACAATGAGAATGTATGTGCTCGATTACATTAAATCCTGCTCAAGGTTCTGTTAAAATTTACATGTCTGTTAACATTTAGTGATGTAGAAAAATCAGTGCCATTCGCAGGGCAGAAGCCATATGACAGTGGATTGAGAAGCGAACGTTCAAACTTCACTGTTCTCAGTTTGAGGAGTAATGTGCTCAGACACTGTGGTTATCTGTCCATTCTGCCATGGGCTTTGGATCTCCATTGGATAATCCATTAAAGGAGAAAGAACAATTGGCAGGCTGCAGGGTGCCTTCTCAGGAGACTCCAGTGGAAGGCACAGAAATGAAACAGCTGCAATGCTTCCCTTCTATGCCCATCAGATTCTTTTGTAGTGGATTCTTTCAGAAGATGTACACTTTCTTCCTATTCTTTAGTCACAATCTGGGATAAAAATTGCTCAAAGCATATAATAAGCCATTTTATTCTTTAAAAGAAGGATTCCCTGGACATATTTGGGCAGGGAGGAGATGAGGGAGCAACTTCACGCACAAAGCCATACATGGTGACTCTTCAGAATAACCAGTAAGAAAGGTGAATGGATGACCTTGTGGTGACCACAAAAGGAGAAAGCCAAATGTAGTATATACATGATTACATGACCTGATCTTGGCTCCATTCAGAAAAAATTTCTCTCAGTTAAAATAAATTCTAAGCCCCACGTGTAAGGCACAATGATATAAGTAACGTTTTGGCAACCACAGCAAGAGCATGGTTATGTCACCCAATCCCTTAACTAGGAGACCATCTCCAAGAGGCTTTCTCATGCCATCTGCAGAGCTGCCTCTACTGAGTGGAGGCTCCATTACCACAACCATTACCGGTGAGCACATGCCCTGGAATAGAAATGGAATGGAAGAGACTGAGAATTTCAGAAACAGCATGTCTTGGGCCTAGATGCAGTTTTGGTCCTGAAGCCTTACTTAGACTCTCTGAACAAAATTTAATGTTCAGGCTCATGGGTTCATACGAAGACCACATAATGATTCTATTTTATGGCCTATTTGCCTTCCGCTGACACATGGCAAGTCTCATGCAGTTACCTGTATAACATGGTACCAAAGGAAAAAAAAAAGAGTCCTGAGATTTAGCTCTGTGTTACATTGAGCTAAACCAAAGCCCTTTCTGGGCCTGTATTCTCATCCTTTCTAGCTGGCCATGATTTGATCATATCACCATCAATCCAGAGTTCTGATTTTTTTACTACCCATGGCCTTTAGGAGATCTGTTCTCTTGAAAGCGATTTTCTCTTTCCAGCTCACTCAGAGGATTCATGATGACTATGGTTGACATAGAAATGATTCATCTGTCATAAAGATGGCTGCATGAGATCACAAATACTCCAAGGAGAGTTAGAAGGGGGGAATGTGAGATTCAAAACCTAGTGACATATCTGTACTGAAAGCAGATGACAGCTTAATGAGAGGAGGAGATAATGATCCTGGTGTTTCTATAACTTGCATGTGCTTTTATGCCTCTCTGAGAGGCAAAAGTGCAGATTCGCTGTCAAATATGTCTCCTGTGGTCCGTCTCATGCCCACTCAAGATACTTCCTCCACAAAAATAGAGTGTAACAGATAGGCTGCCAGGGAGCAGCCCCCGTCCTCAACAGCCAGTTGATGGAAATGGAAGGTTAGGATAGCCTGGAGTGATTCCAGACACCACCCTGGATATCCATTGCTGGCTGCTTGTTTCTGATAATTCACTTCATTTACAAAAAGGGCTGGAGACCATGTTGAAAAGATGTAGTTCTTTCCATGGTATCTGATACTTTAACTTACTGTTTTTATTCTTGAGATGCAACATTTTTATTATAGTATAAGCAACCACCACTACTGTAACAGACATTTTCTTCTATCCTCTCCCTAATGAACTTAACAATAGCCTAAACCCAAATTCCAACCCCAGACTGAGTATGGAAACTCTGTTGTAAAATGAGCATCTTACCAATGTGGGATCAAGACCCCTATTCCAGCAATAGATAGCCACTATCCCAATCCTGGTCATAAGCAGAACCCTAATTCAGGCCACAGACAGCCCTGTGTCTGGCAAGAGATTGGCCACCATTAACCAGAGCCAGGGCTCTCAAAATGATCCCAGAAGAGAATAGATGAAAGGACGGGCCACTCCCGCAAGGGAGCCACAAGTCAATGTGCATGTTTTTGCAGGAATGGGTCAGAGACATTTTTATTATGTAATATGATACATTCCTTTTATAGTTTCCTAGCAACAGGATGCCAATCAGCCAGCTGTAATTCACAGATTCATTTTCTTTGTTATGAAGGAACTGGGAGTAGGAGGTAAGAGGACCTCCTAGTATGGGTAGAACTGACAGAGTGTGGCTGGAGGATGAGGAGACCAAGCCTGCAGAAAGAAGAACCTTGGAGAGTGTGCCTTTCTTCCTTCACACTCTTTGAAGCAGGGATTCATCCGACTGCCATTGCTGCTGTCATTGCTACTGCAGGCTTCTTGATCCCACAGCAATTACTAGTGTTGATGGGTACAATTTTAAATCATATGGCATGTTTTTGAATCACATGCAGTGCTTGCTCCATGCTCAAAACATTGGCAGTGGAGCTCAAATCAGGACAGAAATAACAAACCTTCTCAGGCTACTTCCCCTAGTATCATGGCTGAGCTTTGAAAAAGCTGTAATCACTAACCAAGTCAGGTGGGTAAGGTCTCTGAGACATTATCCTGTGGCTCATTCCCACTCTTTGGAGCACCTGCAAATTTATTACATAAGATATTATTTTGTACTCCATCTAATTAGTTAGAACTATTTGTAGTCATTTGAAATACACTCCATGTTGATTAAAATAATTAGTGTAGGGCTACTAAATATTTACCTAAGATATGAATCCAGGGGGAATTTGATAAATTTAATTAGCAAGAACTAATTATTGTTATGATAGGAGTTAGGGTTTAATAAATATAATTACAGAGCACAAATGACGGTTTCCTAATTAATAGATACTAGTTGCAAACACAAGAGCCATTATCGTATTTTCATGCAGGACATGCTATTCAGCACACCTTTCAGACATCAACTATAGCAGCAATGGCGACTTACCATAAAAGGATGGAACACTTACATAGTGCTTAGGCTGTCAGGCATAGTTCTAAGTGTTGTTAGCATACTAACTCATTTAATCCTTACAAAAACTATCATTGTCCACGTTTTACCTGTACAGAAACTAAGGCATAGAAAAGTCTAACAACCGGCCGGGCACGGTGGCTCACGCCTGTAATCCCAGCACTTTGGGAGCCCAAGGCAGGTGAATCACAAGGTCAAGAGATCGAGACCATCCTGGTCAACATGGTGAAACCCCGTCTCTACTAAAACACAAAAAATTAGCTGGGCATGGTGGCACGTGCCTGTAATCCCAGCTACTCAGGAGGCTGAGGCAGGAGAATTCCCTGAACCCAGGAGGCGGAGGTTGCGGTGAGCCGAGATCTCGCCATTGCACTCCAGCCTGGGTAACAAGAGCGAAACTCCGTCTCAAAAAAAAAAAAGAAAAGTCTAATAACTTGTCTATGTCTGGACGCGGTAGCTCACTCCTGTTATCTCAGCATTTTGGGAGGCTGAGGTGGCTTAATTGCCTGAGCTCAGGAGTTCAAGACCACCCTGAGCAACAGGGTAAGACCCTGTCTCTACAAAAAATTTGCCAGGCATGGTGACATGGGCCTGTAATTCCAGCTGCTTGGGAGGTTGAGGTGGGAGGATCATTGAGCTTAGGAGTCAGAGGTTGCAGTGAGCCAAGATCATGACACTGTACCCCAGCCTGAGAGACAGAGCCAGACCCTATCTCAAAAAAAAAAAAAAAGTAACTTGTCCAAGATTACGCATCTAGGAAGTGGCATTTGATCTCATGCAGTCCATGCCCTTAACCACTATTTTTACAGGGTTTTGCCATGTTGCCCAGGCTGCTCTTGAACTCCTGAGTTCAAGAAATCAGCCCCACTCAGACTCCCAAAGTACTGGGATTACAGGTGTGAGCCACTGCACCTGGCCTTAACCATTACAGTGTTTAAACAATAGTGGTAACAACAAAAACAAAAATAGAAACTATGAATGTTCAAAAAGCCAGAAACCAAAATCCTCAGATCCATATTTGCTATCCAGGTTTAATAAACTTTTGAATATTTGCATATACCATTTCCATGATTTTGGAGATTTTAAGGATGATTCTGAAATGACTGAATTATTCATATTCTCAATATGAGATAAGACCACTAGACTCAACCAAAGCTTCCTAGTGCTTTTTTTCTAGGAAGAAGCGCTTGATTGCCTATTGTTACAGGCACCTTCCTCCAGATCCCAGTTCATATCCTTGCCCAGTGTCCTTCCTGTCAGTGATTCTAAGTTTTCACTTGTGCCTTTGGGACTGGAAAATGCTGGAGTTTCATTCATGGGTGAATGAGCAACTATCATCAACAATGGCAAGAGACTATGTGTGCTAAGGGAAGGTTACAAAAGCCCAGATTGTCAAAGACCCTGGGCTTTTTATTCAAAGTGAAGTGGTGGAAACTTGTGGGTTGGTGTCACAGAGCAGAGAAATCCTGGAGACCACATCCCTCTGTCTCAGCCATACTTAGAAAAAAATACATTTCTTCCCCTGGTCAATCCTGAGACACAGTTTAATCCAAAGGGAGCAATGTGGGAGAGAAAAAAAAGGAGAGAAACCAATAAATAGTCAAAACAGGGAGCAGGAAAAGACAGGCCTGGATGCACAATTCTTTTTGTGCCTGTTAAATGAACTCTTGTGGGGTTGAGGAGAGAGAATTATCCTATTTATATATTGAAAGGAATTTTAAATATGCATAGGCAGGGAGAGAGGATCCACAGAGATTGAAATGCAAAACACAGCGTGGTCCGGGCATCTCCCCATCTATCTCTCAGTACCATTAGCAAGTTCCTTGCACCAATTTCTGGAAAGCTCCCTCTAAAACTCAGAGCCATCCTTCTACTTACTCAGCATTCCTGCCTTAGAAAAGCAATTCTATTTTTAAAAAGAAGTGGGTCTTCACTTGCAAAACACCTTGCAAATGTATTCCCACAGGAACAGAGCTCATACTTTCACAGTGATGCACACGCATATCCAACCAACTCATTTACACACACAGACACACAAAAACTTCCACCACTACCTTTACTTCTGGACCACAATCTCCTGGCCTCTTGGCACTGGGGTTACAGAAAAACAATGCACAAGAAAGGAACATCTCACACCATCATGCAGGAAGACAGGAGCATGGATCAGAAGGCATGGGAAATTTGTCATCATTCAGCCGAACGCAATCACATTGGGAACATGTAAGAGACAGAAAACTTACCATATTTCCTAAAAAATACCATTCATCCACATTTTAAAAGCAACACTCCGTCCCACACAAATTCCCCTATTCACCATCCCTACCAGGCACATGTCATCTCCTTTGAAATAGCAGAAACTGCTGTTCCCAATGGTTTCCAAAGTCCTGAAAGACAGAGAAATTGCCAGATACAAATAATACCTGTGTAAGTCATCTTACTGCAACATCTCCCTTCTTCAATATCGCCTCAATATCCCCCACCTTCAATATCTCTATCCTTCTCTGTCTCTCACAGGTACAAAAAGTCACTGTTCCTCCTAAGGAGGTCTGTAGCTTTGTAGGATTTGGTCACTAACATGGGTATTACTTTGGGAAAGATTTCATTCTCTGGTTACTTCCAGGGGAACACAGTTTAAAAATTATGAGTTTGCAAATGGTTAATACTTTCAGGTTTTTATAATAAGCTTCCATTTAAGGATGAAAATATATGGGAAAAGGGAACCAGAGGGACAAAATAGGGGTGCACATAAAATTGTCTTGGCTTTAGCACATTATATGTTACATGTGCAGGTTTGTTACATGAGTATGTTGCAGACAGGTAGTGAGCAAAGTACCCAATAGGTAGTTTTTCAAGCCATGCCCCTTCCCTTTCTTCCCCCCGGTAGTCCACAGTGTCTATTGCTCTCATGTTTATGTCCATATGAGCTCAATGTTTAGCTCCCACTTACAAGTGAGAATACATGGTGTTTTTCTGTTCCTGCATTAATTCACTTAGGATTATGGCCTACAGCTGTATCCATGTCACTGCAAAGGATATGATTTCATTCCTTTTAATAACTATGTAGTATTCCATGGTGTATATGTACCACAATTCCTTTATCCAGTCGATCACTGATGGGCACCTACACTGATTTCACATTTTGATATTGTAAATATCACAGTGATGAACATATGAGTGCACGTGTCTTTTTGGTGTAATGATCAATCTTCCTTGGGGTATATACCCAGTGATGGGATTGCTGGGTGGAATGGTAGCTCTATTTTAAGTTCTCTGAGAAATGCCCCAATTGCTTTCCACAGTGGCTGAACTAATTTACCTTCCCGTCAATGGTGTATAGGCATTTTCTTTAATCTGCAGCCTCACCAGTATCTGTTGTTTTTCTGACTTTCTAGTAATAGCTATTCTGACTATGAGATAATATGTCATTGCGGTTTTGATTTGCATTTCTCTGATGATTAGTAATAATCATTTAAGACCCAGGAAGAAGCCATTTGCCAAACTCCTTGGCCTTCTCCCAGTCCCGGTAACACTCCCAGTTTGCCTGGCTAATCCCTGTTGATTCTCTAAGTGTGACATTACTCCCTCTAGAAATCTGTCTCAGATGCTTTCCATCTGACACCCAAATTATTGCAGTGTGGAGGGAAAGGAATGGAAAGGCAGGAAAGATGACTGATTCCATATTGAGACATGTGTGGTTTGTGGTTTCTACATAAAATCCAGGTGGTGACATGAGTTAATGCTTGGCTCTACAGTCCCAGTGTTAGAGGTGGGAAAGTTCTTCTTCAAAGTTCTTAGACTACATTGTAAGTAGAAGGAGTTATAGCCTCTTGATCTATGGCCATTATCAGCTATTAGCATAAACATATACCCATGTATATATATTCTCTAAATCAGCTCTGTCTGAAATCAGCTACCTTGACTCGCTGCAGCATGTCTGAACAGAACTGGACAAGCCCCAAACCCTGGTGTATACCATTGCTTATATCAAAACCCTCATGACCTTCTCCTGACTAGCTTCCTCTCCTTCCTTGTCTTCTTCCTCATCTTCTTTCCCCTTATCTATTCAGGACATTTACAGGTTTTTAGCCAATTGGGTCAAGCATAGATTGCGAGGTCTTGTTCCGTCCAATGGAAACTGGACACAGCAGTAGGGCGATTGCATCAGGTTATGGAAGTTATAAATGCCCCAATCTCCTTTGTTCAGGTGTGCTCTCATGACAAGACTGCCGGTGAGTTGTACTCTTCCTGCAGGATGTAAACTAGCCTTGCTCAGCTGTCCATTGTCTCGGTGTGGATGTTTCCTGATGTTGTAAACCCATTTCCAACAGTTATCAGGCATAGAAGAATGGATTCTGAAGCCTAGGAAGTCCCCATCATGTGAACCGACCTGAAAGCACTGGCCTAGAGGAAGTCCTGAGGCAGCCACCCTGCAGCCGGAGAGGCCATATTCAGAGGAAAGGGTTTAATTCAGGGTTTTATGTGGAGAGTTTCCTGTAGACCCAGATTCGTGATACCAGGACAGTATGAATCACCGTGGCTGTAATTACCTTAATGTAACGTTTTTCACTGAAGACCCAGGGAAGTGCTTAGATCTACATTAGTTTTCAGGCAATCAAAGACCAGAAGAAAAATAAAAGCCTGAAAATGGTATTAATGTGTGAAAAACACTTTAAGAAAAAAACCCACAAACATCTTGTGAACAATCTAGAAGAATGTTGCACCAGGCTGACTTTGATTCACAGCTCCA